ATCTAAAGGGGAGCCTTATTGTAAAGTGGTACCGATGTTTTCTTTGACCTTTTATTGAAGGATATTCATGTCACAGGTAGTTTAAAATGCAAATCGACATCCTTTCATTGCTTTCTGAGGGTTTCAGTAAAATCCTTACCTTTGTTTATTGAATAATTTGCTAACAGACAGACAAATAAGCACATAGAGACACAGATGCAGGTTATATCATCATCTCCCTCGTGTCTTTAGTGCTGGGTGATAAGTGCCTCTCTGCTTATTATCCTACTTTTTCTTTGCTTTTAACGTAATGTCCTCGTCTTGTCTCCCTCTGGTCCTCCTCCTCCTCCTCCTTCCTTTCATCCTCCTTCCTGTGCTGTCTGTCCATCCTCCAGGATCTGGAGGAGCGCCTGCGCCACCACCACCACGCAGAGCTGCAGTCGCTCCGAGAGGCTCACCGGCAGAGCATCGAGACGCTCAAACAGCAGTCGGAACAAGAGCTGCAAACGCTGCGCTTCGAGCTGGAGGACGAGGGCAAAGCCATGCTGGGTGAGCTGCAGGCGACGAGACGATCAGCTCCTGCTGCGCTCGTTGAGCCGTGTTCTCTGTCAGCTTGGATTTCACAGGAAAATGCAACTTAACTGTTTAAAAACAATCAGGCAGAACATAAAAACTGAACAGAGATAAGCTTTTTAATTATAAACAACAGTTTAAGGTAAGAACCTCAAAGCTCAGCGTTCCTTGAACAAAAACAGAGGTTTGCAGGATTTAAGCCCCCCATGTTGGAATTATGAGAGCGTTGTTCAGGTTTTTAGAGCTAACACACCTGAGCTGTGATAAATGCTCCTCCATTAACCCTCAGGTCATCGTCTCGCCGCTGAAAAGCTGCCTCCATCTGTCCCTCCTCCCACACCTTCACCTCCCATTTTTCTCCTCGTTATCTCAGTTTTTCAGTCCGTCTCGTTCAGGCGGCACAAACGGTGTTTTCTGCCGTGTAAAACAGTCGTGTTTGGACTTTAAAAAGCTGCGTTTCACCTTTCGTCATGTGAAGTTCGAATGTAAAACAAAAAGCTGCCTGTGCGCCGCGTTTCTGCTGATCTGAACAGCTTTTTGAGAATAAAAGATGCTTGAAGTGACGATGAAAGGCCGTCAGATAAAAGACACGTGTGATGTTTTAATGTGGAAAATAAAAAACAACTAAAGAAAACACATTTTCTGTTAAAGTACAACAAGAATGATGAGGGCCGAGTGAAGCAGAAACAGAAAAAAYCTAAAAGGAGTGAAATGCTAGTTAAAAGACAACAGTAAAAACCAATAGCTAATAGGTAAAAGTAGCAAAACATCAGCTAAAAGTACTGAAAATACTCATGGAAAACAGCAAAATACTCATGGAAAACAGCAAAATACTCATATAAAACAGCAAAATACTCATATAAAACAGCAAAATACTCATAGAAAACAGCAAAATACTCATGGAAAACAGCAAAATACTCATGGAAAACAACAAAATACTCATATAAAACAGCAAAATATTCATGGAAAACAGCAAAATACTCAGAAAACAGCAAAATACTCAGAAAACAACAAAATACTCATAGAAAACAGCAAAATACTCATAGAAAACAGCAAAATACTCATGGAAAAAAGCAAAATACTCAGAAAACAACAAAATACTCATGGAAAACAGCAAAATACTCATAGAAAACAGCAAAATACTCATGGAAAACGGCAAAATACTCAGAAAACAGCAAAATACTCATGGAAAACAGCAAAATACTCACGGAAAACAAGTACGTACATAGTCTTCCCCTAGGTGTTTATACTTGATGTACACATGTACACATTGTTGTAGTATTCTTATAGTAAATTTGAGAGCAAACGCTGATGGACAAACAAAGAAACAAACACACAAACGGTGCGCAGCACACACAGTCCATGTGGAGTTGAGAAGATGAGTTCACTGCATTTAAAAAGAACAAAGAGAAGAAGCAGCAGGTTGTGAGCTCTTTCTGTGACATGCTGTGTGTGAATCCATTTATTGAGTTTGGACCGGGCTGGTCCTGGTCCTGATCAATGTTTCAGAGCAAATGTTACCAGTGTTGCCAATATGTCCAGATGAAAAATAGGGCTGGGATTATTTTTCCTAAAGATGAGGGTTTGAGTGGAAAATAAACCAATTTTTTATTAACAAACAGAGCAACAAAAGTCAGGATGAGCACAGAATAAACTTCAGAGACAGATAGAGAGAAGTTTCTAATCTTAAAATAACCAACTTCTAAAATTCTTAATAAAAGTTTAATTTTCAGTATGTTTTAATCTAATGTTTTGGGGTGGATTATGATTACATTATGTCTACATAATCACCTAGACTTGTATAAATATTCACATACAACACTCACCAGTCCCCCCACCCACCCACAGTTTTAGTACATTTTTAATAAAACTATATATAGATAAACATAGATATATATACTATATTTGTTTTATTACTCTTAGGAAATACTAAGAGCATAGAGACACATTCTGCTGTTTAAATATGAATATGTATGTACAAATACATGAAACAGTGACTGTCCCCATTTCTTCATATCTTTCATATCATTTAACTTTTTTTTTTTTATCTCCGAGCTGGATATGTCCCCAGATTTAGACTCAGAAATCTGGTCATCCTAACCTTAACGTTCTGAAACATAAAAGGCTAAAACAGTACGCAGAAGTAAATCTACTGAGGTTTTTATTTTTAAAAAGACCAACAACAAGTTTCAGCTTTCGTTCATGTGAAGTGTTTTCCTTGTAAACAAAACAACTTCCTGTTTTCCTTTAGCCTCTCTGCGCTCGGAGCTGAACCACATCCACGCCTCGGCCATCGAACACCTGCGACAGACCCACCACCAGGAGTCGGCCGCCGCCAAGGCCGAGCTGGAGAAGACTCTGGACAACAACCGGACTCAGGTACTGAACCGGGGTCGATTTGTTTACATTATTGCACGTTGGCGTCTGCCTCGGTTGTTTCAACAGAAACCAGTTGGACAGCTGTGGAAACACCTTGTTGTTGTGTTTGTTTGTGTGACGTCGCTCGTTTAGTGAAGCTGCTCGATGAATTAGTTTCTGGTCACGTCTGAATCTCTCCCAAACACTCGAGCACGTTTTCTCCAGCTGAAGCTTGTGGTGAGACCTCTTTCAGACCGTTATCAGGGGTGCCAGCAGGGGGGGGCCGGGGGGCATGGCCCCCCCTGAGAATAAGCTGGTGGCCCCCCCCAGTTTTATCCTCTTGAGTACCCAGGTTATTCC